TGAATAGTTATAAATTCTTCAATAGGCTTTTAATTTAGTTTTTTATTATATAGATAACCGCAAGATACATACATTATACAGCGACTATAGTTAGCGTAAATAAGTAAACAAGTTAATTAAAAAAGTCTAGTGACATTTATGCGCAATTTCCTTATGTTATCTAAAAATAGCTCTGACGTATAATGTTGGGGTGCGTTCAAGCTAGAAGAACGATCGGTTTGTAGGTGTTTATGTAATTTTAAAATTTGTGACCGAACGAGAGGATATTTTTGAAAACTTTCTTCGGCAATATTGTTCTAAATTATGGCAGGAATCGATTGGTACATGTTTCAAGTCGCTAAGTTTTTTTTTCTAAGTGGTCTAGTTGCCGAGATATGGGCCAAAAACTGAATTTTTTCGAGGTTTTTTGGCTTTTCCGGGAAATACATGAAAGAAACCCGGAATTTTTATGGCCTATGCTCATTCTCGTAACTTGCTTAACATAATTGCTTTTGGAACTAGTCATCGATTTTGCTTCGTTGAGGAGGAGATATGACTTAAAGCCCGGACACACATTCATCCATACATTCATCCATCCATTCCCAGAAATGACGAGTTAATAAACGCAATTCTCCAGAATGGAAATTGCGCTAAAAAAATATTTTGATATGTTAGACGAAATGTACTTTTTATATTTATCTTTACGAACTGGTGGCTAAATTAATACGTTTTTACTTAATAATATGTTTGCATTAATTTATTTATAATATGGAAAATAACGGAATAAGTATGAAGCAAATGTTCTAGGTAAATGGAAGCAAAAGTAAAACTGATCGAACAAAATAAAAAAAAATATCCCACAAAAACATACAGAGACAGATTTAATAACCTTGCAAATTAAAGTTCATTCCAATTATTTAATACAATATTTTTGTGTTAATTTGAAAACATATAAGTATATGTTACAAGTTGTGCGCCCGTTTGGTAGTCTATTGAAGGTTTCGATATTACTGCTTCATGTTTTTTCATAAGCTACCTTACTAAATGTATTTGACGGCTAACTTAAATCCCCGGGCACCTTGTATTCCTCGGGCACGAAATGTGATGTACAGTGGCCCGGGGGAGCTGACTGAAGGGGGAAGTTTATAGCCACACGCAGACAGAAGCAGTGGGGCACTCGTAGACGTCCCGTTATAGATGTTGAGAGAACTGTCCTCGTCGCATCGAAAATACAGTCTTTGTTCCACGTTAAAATCTAAAAATCTGGATAAAAACGTTGAAATATAAAAATCTGGATAAAAACGTTAAAATAAAAATCTGGACGAAAACGTTAAAATATCAAAATCTGGATAAAAGCGTTAAAATCTGAAATTCTGGACAAAAACGTTAAAATAAAAATCTGGACGAAAACGTTAGAATAAAAATCTGGACGAAAACGTTAAAATAAAAATCTGGACGAAAACGTTATACTAAGTCAGTTAATAATGAAGCAAAGAAATATATTGAATAAAAAAAAGTATGAATAGATTAGTAAAACATAATATCTTTCTGTGGAAAATATGCTAGTGCTTAAGCTGCTATTTAAAATGGTAGTTAGGAAAACTTTGACGGATTTTTTCTTTTCAACAATCAGTCGCTCTAGTACAGCTACAAGTGTTGAGAGCAGACATTGATTTCATACGGAGAATTAATTTTGTACTAGTACACACTCATCTTAATACATTTTAAAACGCGTAAACATTTTACAACATGTAAACATTTTACAACATGTAAACATTTTACAACATGTAAACATTTATAGACATGTAAACATTTTAAAACATGTGAACATTTTAAAACATGTGAACATTTTAAAACATGTAAACATTTTAAAACATGTGAACATTTTAAAACATGTGAACATTATTTGGCAGGGGGGGGGGTGGGGGAGAGGGCAGGCCGTTTAGGGGACCCACAGCCGAACATAAATAATATTTTTAAAACTTTTGATTTTAATTTTCGTGCATTTGTTTCTTGATATTTTGTTTGTATAAAAATAGCGCTGTAGCTGCGGTATGCTTATCTTCCGTAAACATTAAACTACATTACACAAACTGTAGTGTAAAATATAGGCAAAAATATTCTAATTTTAATGACTTTTGTGCCTCGTTGCTCCCCTTTTATAGTCAGCTAGAGACACGTAATTGTTCGACCGATCCTCCAAAGTGTACTGTGGCGGATGGGGAAGGGGGTGGTGACCAAACAGATGTGGCTCAAAAATTGTCGTCAAATTAATATTTTTAAAAAGTTATTTTTAATTGTGTTTTTTTTTAACTATCGTCAAGGCCGAGTTGTATTTTCCCTACAATCAAACACACGCTGTCGCAGGCAAAAATTCTTTTTAAAAAAAATGAAGTCCTTAGCTTGAGAAGCCGCTGGATATGTAGTGGGCTTTCAGGGTGTGTGGTCCTTGTTTTCGGCATTGTTTGGGGACCCGAAATCCATTGTTCATTTTTCAATGTTAATATTAGTTTGTAATTGTGGTTGAATTTGTATCCTGTGTTTGTGAAATTGGTAGAACTTCTATGCTGTACTATCCTGCACTATCCTGTATCCTACAAATAATCAAAAGTTATGTAATACTAGAAACTTCAGTTTTACATACGTTTACTTGTTTTCCTTCTACAAGAAGTAGCATAGTAAAATTTTAGGGCCTATACTTTGAATTATCTCCCATGAAAAAGTTTTATAATGTGCTATGCTAACGTACATAGGCGCTTTTTTGTCTCTTGCAAGTTTTTCCCCGAGTCCACCCGCATCCCACCCCTCTTGCTTAGCCTCGCAAGTATCGAGTAGATAAATGTATTGTGTTTTAACCACATCTTAACCAGTTCAGCAAATTTTGTCATCACTAGTCATCAGAATTTAATTTATTTGCATAATATTGTGTGCATCTAATTCACAAAACAGGGAAGGTAAGATTATTTTTACATAATTATTTTGAAATAAATTAGAACGTTTATTAATAGGTGGCGTCATTTGTGGATGCCACCCCCCTCCCCAATCGACGTGTGAGTTGGCCACATACAGTTTTACATGTGAAAAACATGATTCTGTCTTATGCATTAATACATCATTCATCCAATCGCCATATAAAATTTGGGAAGCTATTGAGTACAGCTCTGCGAAGGTTTCTGTCATAGGCCTAACAATTGTTTACATATTGGAGTGGGGACGCCCCACAGAAATATGTGATTTAGCCCCCCAAGATCCTCAGTGGCTATCTTTGCACCTGGGATCCACTTATTATGTGTACCACATAGGGAACACGGTTACTACTTAAATCCACCGGCGGCAGTGTCATCAGGAGCGCATCACACATGAGCAGATTGGCCCCTAGTCCTTTAAAAGTTCAAGAAACAGTAGAGAGTTGCACCATTCACACGTGCAGTAATGTAACCGGTGTGGGAAAACCTCTGATTTATTTGTGTAACAGATGAAAAAAAAAACACTTCTGTCCATACTAACTCGAGTAAATTAAGAAAAATTAGAGCGAAACCTGTTATATACAGGGGCGGAACTACAGTGCCGCCAGACCCCGCAATGCGGGGGGGGGCCCACGCCATTTAGGGGCCCACGGCCGACCATAAAAAAAATTGTTATAGTTAAAAAAAAAATATTTTCTTGCATTTTTGACTTAATGTTTGTTTTGTAAAAAAGATTACCGTAGCTGCGGTTGGATTATCTTTATTCTATAGACACCACCCCTTGGTCATTTTCCTTCGTTTTTAAACCACTGTGAAAGCCGAGTCCTCTTTCTCCTACAATCAAACTTATCAAAGATAAGCAAACGTTCAAACCACTTCCATGACTTATTTCCCTTTTTTAAATAGTCAAATAGTGATGCTCATAAGCCTTTTTTTAATAGATTTGTACTAAACAAACCAAAAGCAATTACTTCTCTTTATTATTATTTGTTAATAAATTACTTACTAAAGAATGACACTGTATAAAAAGAAAATGTGTTTAAAATTTATAAAATAAATACAAAAAAACATAAAAATAAACATGACACGAGACACCATTATTTTCATAAAGCTTTCATGTTTTATATTCTTATGACCTAGTTAGAGGTCTTGCGGCCGACATAATATACCACTAATTTTAACAAAACAGACTAATTCACTTATACACATGACATGATGTTGTAATTTGAATCAATTAAAAAAAACACACGTGTTTCTCAAAACACGAACAGGCCAGCAATAAGTATCCTATGTTCGTATTTTGTGTTTGAGTATATATATATATATATATATATATATATATATATATATATATATATATATATATAGGCCTATATATTCATATGGGTGGGGGCCTAAAAAATTTTTTTGCGGGGTGGCCCCTTATTTCTAGTTCCGCCACTGGTTATATATATATATATATATATATATATATATATATATATATATATATATATATATATATATATATATATATACATATATACATACATACATATATATATATAAATTCTGCGGGGGTGGGGAGGCTTTTTTTCGCGTGCCGCCACTGATATTTAGCATTCAATGTATGTATGTATATGTAAAGGTATTAAACTTTCACGAGGAAACGAAATTACCTTTCATAATCATATTATTGATGTACATACTGTAATGAAATTTAGGGGAATAGAGCCTAAAGGGAATGGATGTTCAGTAGAAATTGAGGCTTACAGGCATACAAGTCTTAGAGCTAAACTTTAGCGTGAGGCACTACAGTTAGGATGGAACACAAATAACACCATAACGTGTTTGATACACTCTATTTTCATATGCAATATTTTAAACATCCATAAAACAATCAAAGAATGTATATTGTAAAACCTATACATATTCTACAACATTAAACGTTTGGTTTTATTTACCTACAGAAAGTTCCAATCATAACAAAAATGTATTCTATACATTCAGCGTATGTAACTGTTTTATAAAAAAATCTGAAATAGATGTAACAGCTCTTAAAGTATAGAAACTTACATGAGTTTCGTAATCGAGTAACGTCTAGGAGAGACAGTCCAATTGTAATTTGATTGATATGGGTAGTTCCACGGGTAATTTGGGCTTTTTATAAATGTGGATTCAATTTCTGCGTAAATCGCTGCAACACAAAAATACATGTCTGAAAGATTCACGTCTTGAAGGTGTTTTGATAAGTAGTTTATTCTTGACCGAGTCCATGTTATACCTTTCTGGCTTTCTAATCATAGAGTTGTTTGTACATTTTAGCGGAACTTGATTTTACTACATGGCAGTTACATAAACACTAGACACATTGCCTAGCTTCGCTTAGGTTTTCAAAAAATAAATTTAGAATATGAATGATTAATTAATTTGTGATCAGCTGTTATTTCGGATGCTTAAGTTTAAAAGTAATTTCACTAAAAGAAAAAAAATTAAGTATTCGTATGATTATCATTTGCAAGGTAATTAGAGACTCAGTTGATGGAATATCTAAAACATTAAATTACATTATTTTCTTGAAGTTAATTTCTACACTTTTTAGGACACATAAGTTAATGCGAAATGAAATTCTTTCTCAAACAAATTCTGAATTTTGTCAATTTTTTGAGTGCTTAAAATAGTATAAAATCGATTAAAAAATTATTTCTTCGTTAAGTTAAACTACGTTTACGTCATTCGATCTGTGTAAACAGATCAAATGACGTAGACTTAGTTTATCTTTTTAAAAAAAAATAAAAATCTTGTCAGATCTATCGGCCCTCCGGATTTTCCCGACTTGCAGAACTTTTTCTTTTTGTTATCGTCCGGTGTCGGTCTACAACATCAGGGGGCGGCATAGGGGTCGTTGAGCAAAATTGATTTTCAATGTATAAGTTACGTAAGGAAATTTTTACTCGCGGTCTAGTTTTAGTGGTCATCTAGGGTTTAGAGTCTGACCGACAGTTTTCCAATACGTCTCATCAACTTACCAATGTGCTTGCAACTATTTAGCCTAATATAAATTGGGTAAGTACCATTAAATTTGTGTTAAAATTATCCTCTGTTTTTTCACACACATATTACACAGATTTTATAGGGAAATACGTTTGGTCAGTTTTGACCGCTTTACTGAATTTTACCCAGGGACGACACTTTTTTTTTCGGGCATCCATCGGCATTTGTCCACGACATCACAAAATTATAAACAGTATTTCACTCGCGGTCAGTTTTTAGCCTGAAAATGTAATTTTAATTGTTTTTAAATATTATTTTAAACGTGTAAACTGTGTACTTCAGTCTCAGTAGAAGTGAGCGAATCACTTTTCTCAATTCTTTAACTTTTTTGTTATCATTACTAAAGTCGTAGAATTATCGATATTTAAAAAATCTCTAACTGAAAAATAAAAAACAAATACTTCATACTAACAGTAAAAGTAGACAAACTTAAATCCTCTTTCATGTCTGCTGTTGTCTGTAACGAATACAAGACTCAGGTTGAAAGTTGAGCTGACTGGTTCAGGGATAGAATGACCACACCAAAGTAATAACGATCGGTTATAGTTAAACACAGAAGCAGACATTTCAAAAACGTTTAAATAATCCCTCGTGCACTCTGCCGGGGACACGGGATGTAGCAAGATGTCTAAAATGCTAAAACATAAGAAATATGTGTACATTAATAAAACATCAAATGTGTGTACATTAATAAAACATCTGATGTGTACATTAATAAAACATCTGATGTGTGTAACACAAATAATAGGACTTCAAAAGGGCACGTGAAAGAGTAAGACTAAAAAAAGGTAAAGGGCAAAAGGAAAACGGAAACAGCCAAAGACAAATGTCAAAATGCAAAGGGCTAAGGACAAAGGTAAAAGGACAAAAGGCGAAAGGGCGAAACGGCAAGCGACAAAGGACAAATGAAAAAAAAAGACAAACGACAAAGGACGAAGGGCGAAGGTTAGAAGATGAAGGATAAGAGGTAAAGGGTAAAATGTAAAGGGTGAAGGGTAAAGGTTAAACGTCAACGATCAAAGGTCAAAGGAGAAGGGTAACCGATAAAGTGTAATTGTAAAGTTTACGTTTATGGGCAGTAGTGATGACAGTTGTAATAATAACCGATACCACGTATACTAAGGTACGAACATTTATTAAGCTAAAAACAAATAAAGGCTCTAATTTTCCTTGTCATGTGCTTAGAATTTAATAAACATTATTTAAAAAATAGGAAAATAGGAATATATCTATTAACAAGACTTCTCGTATATTTAAATGAAATCAGATGAGTTTCTTCCAAAAACTGTACTTTTTAATAGTTTTATTTAATATTAAAATAAAAAAAAAATATTATAGTCATTGGAATATTTTTGTGATTTAGAATCTTACACGATATTTGTAATCTTGTTTGGCATAGAAGGTATGTTCCAAGTTTCGAAAAGATTTTCTGGATACCCTTGAGGATAGCCTGGGCTAGTTATTTCAGTTCCCACATTATCGATCGCAAGAGGTGAGACAATATCCTCTGGAAAACAAAGAGCCATTGCGTGAATAAATAAGTAAAGGAACAAGAACTAAGTAATAAACAGGTATAGTTATGTCACGAACTGTGGCGATAAACAAAGTTGTGTCGTAAAGTTATCAAGCGTTCTATAGAGACTAAATTATCTACAATAAAATAAGCACACTACACGAAACTCAAAAACACAGTAATAAAGGTCATGTCTCTGTTATCATATAACTTACAATAAAATTGCATTACTTATATATATATATATATATATATATATATATATATATATATATATATATATATATATATAATTTACCTTAGTAAAACTATGACCGGATATTGAACCTAAGTTAGTTTCATTATCAATTCACACTAACCATAAGAGTAAACAATTTTAAATCCTCGTCCGCTACCGCTTGTATCAGTACGGAATACCAAAAAAAGACTGTTTGAAGATCGGATTGGACGAGGTATGTCCTGGCCGCAACGAAAAAAAAATGATTGGGTCTGTATCTGACGTCCCATTATGTATCCTAAGGTAATCTTTTCCATTGTATCCCTCGCATATGTAGTCCTCAAGAGTGAATATGTCGAAATCTAAAAAGCTGATAGAAGAAAATAAAATTAAGATATCTACATCCACTCATTTAAAATAAGTTATACTAACATATTTTAGCGTTTTAATACACGTCAAGTTTAAATTGTTACAAGTTTAGACATTTCTAATTCATGCGTTAATTTCTCGTACATATTAAAGCACGAAGTAAATAATATCACTACTCTCGTTTTTTACTTTCTCGTATATACGAAGTATGGAGAAAGTCTTGTAATCGTGCAAAACAAAATCGAGATTTTTACAAATCTCGATGTTTTACGCCTCAGTGAGTCGGAAAAACATATTTTTGCAATCTTGTCCGTATGTCTGTGTGTATGTGTGTCTGTGTGTCTGAGTGTCTGTAAACATGATAACTTGAGTACCGTTATAGCTAGGCTGATGAAATTTCATATTTAACTATTTTATCAAAATCGTAGATCCATATAAACTTTTGAGTGATTTCCGATAACTGGAAGTGGTACTTTTTCTACTTTGAATTTTTCAAAAGCCTATAACTTGAGTACTATTTCAGATAGATAAATGAAATTTCATATGTAAGTAAAGATCTAATCCTCTACCTTCTATCAAGTTTTGAGTAATTTCTATTGACCGGAATTAGTAATTTACGCGTTTTCCGAATTCTCAAAAAACGCATGTAAATTTATAAAGTACTAATAATATTCCGCACTATTATGCACACTTTGTTTTGGCGTTCGCTTGTGCGCAATTCTTTTTTTTCTACGAGATTCTATTCTATTTTTAAAAGTTTAAGTAATTAAAAATCATGTCTACATTCCGAAGTTGCCGTCCCACGTAGTGTTACATAAGAATATTCGAGAAAGTTTAAGGGAGATCACTCCCGTTTTTTTTTCAAGACGCACCGAATATCAGTATAGCGTCTTTCATCTTATTTATTTTATCAAAGTATTAATTCCTCCATTTTAATGTTTAGTAGCACATTTAATTTATATCTCATAATTTCCGAGTCTGTTTCCTAAAATTTAGAAGCTTACGTCAATGTGGTTATTTTGTTAGGCCGAGCAGGTATTGTCCAATTGTGTCTATAATTGTTTGAGTAGTTCAACGGGTAGTTTGGAGTAAGTATTTCACCTGTGTAATCGGTCTCGTCAAGGGGTGCTGAAAGATATTTTAAAATTTATTTTAACACCCAAAGAATGAATGGTTAGATTACAAATGTTTATTATGTAATCCGTTAGAGTTTTATTCATAAATAAAATACCTAAACGAAATCGGCAGGCAGTGGCGTAGCTAAAGTAAACCTAGAGTAAGCAAGGCATAGGGCCCGAGGAACATAAACTCACTGTTCAATTTTTAAAAACGTTTAAACTTTTACATTGAAATGTTAGAATTTATTTTATATGAACAATTTTAAAATTGTAAATAGCTACCGATTTTTCTACTGTGGGAAATAAAAAAAAAATAATTTGGAAAGCCCCCAATCCTTTCGTAGTGTACAGGCAATGGCATTAAGTGTGGGGGTGGGGGGGGGGCGGGGCGCTGAACAGGGCCCACCCGTAATAATAACATCACAGGCATTTAGAGGATTAACCTCTGTTGTCAGATACGGCACCTTCTTTTAGCAGTTTATTTACAGAAGTCGCTTAAAACATCAACTGACTTGAAAACTCTATTCTGTCTGCCCTCCCCGAAATTCCATCCAACGTGATTACAACTGACCTTTTTTTAAAACAATCTTTGGACAGATTTTAACATGAAGCTAAATTAATATTTCGTCAAGTGTTTTTGGTTGTTGTTAGTGTAACACATATGGTTACCACCCAAGGGGGGGGGGGGGGATAAGTAAAGTTTTAATTCATTGAGTTGCGGCCCCTGTGGGGCCGTTGCCCTGTTGATGTAGTTGTGTTGCATGCTCTTGTGAGCGATTTTAACTTTTGCCCCATGTCATAGGACTGTGGGTAGTTTCGTGCCTAGCTGTGTCAGTCACACGCAAGGCTGCTGTCTGTGGACACGGTGACGTACCAAAATGTAGACCTAATGAAGGTAGTGTGGGTATATAATTTCTGTTTATTGTTAGAATACTTATTTGTGTTTTCCTGCTAATGCTGCATGTGCACACTAGTTAGGTTGAGTATTTATATAAGTATTTATTTTTGTACTACTTATTGGTACTTGTTGGCTGTACTGTGTACTGGCCGCAACATATTGTATTGTACCCGTGTATGTTTGTAGCCTACACGTGGTGTTATCATTAATGTAACTTTTTCTTTACATTTGGTTTAGGGCTACAGTTCTTTTTTACTGTCTTCTCTGTTTTCTTTTTGGTTTTCCTGTTCGTTTGGTATTCATCTGTAATCGTCGTACTACTGTGTTCTGCATCGCCGTCATGGCTCGATGTAGTTTATAAATCCAGTACTTGACAACAACTGTCGGTGTCAGTGTGTCCTAAATCTCAGGGTCAGCTCGTCTTAACCTCAACACCTAAGTGGGTAAAAGCATCCCCACTGAGTGAGGGTTACATTAGGTTTAACCTGCATGACTTTTTTGTTTGCTGATCTAATTTATCTTTAATAAATATGGCGCTGCCAACACTATAATATTTGTGTTTGTCTGTTTGTCCTGTGGTCCGTTTCTTGGGCGTCCTGCACAGCAGGTCAGGGCAGGGCTACTGCTTGAATCAACGGTCAAACTGTACAGGCGTATCAACGGTCAAACTGTACAGGCGCATCAACGGTCAAACTGTACAGGCGCATCAACGGTCAAACTGTACAGGCGCATCAGCCAGCGCTTCGGTGGTTGTGGGATTCTGTGCGCCATGGGCTCCTGCATGAGCACTTCGGCGGCTAAACTCGTTTTAATGAGCGCCATACACTATTAAAATTGATTACGAAATGCAATAAGGGGAGTCCTCCAGTTATTTGGCAGTAGTAACAAATGGGTGTCACGAGTTGCCCTGTAGCTACCTGAATGCACAAGATACGTTGATTTGGCGTACTAAAGAGAAGGGGGTACTACTCTTAATTCAATGGTCAAAATGCAACATGGTTGGCTTCTGACGCCCTAGGCAGACTGAAGAAGCATTACAGCAACCTACACTAGGGTGCGGGTGGGCCTCTACATTCGATGAATAACCCAAACCAGGTATTGCATCCCGCTACATATGGTACTGTTCTTAAGGAGGGTTCATAACGTGCATAAGGTTTTCAATCAGCATGCTATGGGCGTCTGAGTGGTAGTGTGGACTAGCCAACGCTGAGCATTAAAGATCCAAGAAATAAAACACCGTTGTCGTTTAATTTTATTTTTTTTAGAAACCTGGGTCATACGTCTAAAAATACACAATATGTAACCTGTTGATAAAACTCTCATACAATGTTTTGCCACCCCGATATGTACGACTAAGTCGCAGCAACGCGGACGGGTGCAATAGTTCTGTATAAAAATGATTTAGTCTTCCATGAGAAGAAGCATTAGATATCTATAATGGTTTTTTTTTAATTATGATTTTTGCTCATTATGATGATGTTATGAAACAAATTTTAGATATTCCCTTTGGTCAGTAACTCGTAAATATATTGAGCAATATGAGCATGAAAAAAGATCTAAATAAATCATGAGCATCATTTAAAAATTGTGTTTGGTTGGTGATAACAGGATCGGCTGTCCCCTGTGTGTTTACTGAAGGTGTCAGTCACCCCACCCTCTCCCCCTCCCCTCCAACAATTTTGCATTATCAATGGAGTGTCACCCCTCTATTTCTAATATTTTTTAAATTTAACTTGATAAAACATAGTTTTGCCAGTAAATTTTACAACATTTCGTCAAGATGTCACTCATAAATGATGATCCAGATGCGGACCGCACCTTTGCCTTGTTACGCAATATATTTTACGCTAATGAGTAGTTCATAATAATACAGTAGCGTATAAATACACATTCAGAACGTGTAAAATACAAAATGTAAACTACTGAAAACTTCACCCTTCTATGCAGCAACCACTTTTTCCGTTGCCCAAGTTTAACTTCGTTGAACCTAACAGCTAATGAAAGGGACCCATGATAATTCATGCTAGGTGCCCTAAAAATCCTAGCTACGCCACTGTCGGCAGATAGAAGCGGTGTAATGTTACATATATTAAAATAGGGTGTACTGCAAATGCTACGAACTTTCTTTACCACTTAGAGATTATCAAATTTTTTTCAAGCTTTGTTTTACACCAACTCATTGTTAATACTGTATATACTAACCGTAACTGAAGGCTAACTTAAATCCGCGTGCACCGTGCAGCCCTTTGGCACGAAATTCGATGTATAGGTTAACGGTCGAGCTGACTGGACGCGGGATGTTATAGCCACATTCAAATAGAAGAAGTCTGTCTCTTGATGACGTCCCGTTATATATTTTAACGTAGTTATTGTCGTCGCATTGGGAAGATCGTGGTTTTTCGATATGAAAATCTAAAAAGCTGATTTAAAAGATAAAACATATTACATCAATAAACCAATCCTATATTAACTATAAAAAGATTCATAATGTTGAAAATTTCATTTAGAAAGAAATTACCAAGATTTTTTTTTGTTTGCTCAAAGTTCGAAGAAGTTGAATAAAAATAGAAATTTAATAGAAATGAAGAACTTTCTAATTTACAGAATCTTACGTGATAGTTGTAACCTTTCGCTGTACAAATGGTATAGTCCAGGAAGAAGCTGATTGATATGGGTAGTTAAGCGGGTAGTTTGTGCTTTGTATTATATGTGAGTTACTAGGGGCAATGTTTGCTGCAACATAAAATTACAACGCTGTAATTGGACGCTTTGACATAGTGAATAAGCTATAACGACAACAATATTTACACACTTTCACACCCTTCATCTTCAGTCAGCGAACGCGCCTAATTCAGTGATAAATTACAACGCCCCATTGTATTCATAGTCTATCGCACTTTTTAAAACGAGCATAGGTGCCATAACGCTCATGACATAGCTTGGGGCGCCAAATCGCACCAAATCGGGCGTTTTCTGAGAAATTGAAAATGGAGTGTTAGTATTACTTTCGGTCAACGGAAATCACTCAAAATTTGAAAGTAAGCAGAGAAATTGTTTTTTTTTTTACTTATTTGTGAAATGTCGTTAATCTATGTAAAACATTACTCAAGTTACTAGCTTTTGAAAAACAAAAAGTGGAATAAGTTCCACTTCTGGTTATTGGAAATCGCCGGAAAGTTAAAACTGATCGACAAATTTGATTTAAATATAAATAAAATTTCACCAAACTTATTTTACCGGTACTCATGTTATCTTGTTCACAGACATACACACACACAAACAAACACATACACACACACAGACGTACAGACAAAATTGCAAAACAATGTTTTTCCGACTTATGGAGGTGTAAAACGTCGATGTTTTGCACGATTACAATACTTCCTCTATACTTCTTATACGAGAAAGTAAAGGAAAGCTAATATTTTACAAGTTTTTATTTAATGCTTCCCCTGTGTGTCTGTCTTTGTCTGCCTTTAGTCGTCATTGATTGTTTCGGCTAGAACAATTTCGACCACTTCTAACCATCTAATTACGCATACAATAATTAACTAATATTTATATAATTTAAAAAAAAAAAAAGCGTGGATCGCTTCTTAAATTTCAGTCTAGGTATTTGAAACATAATATAGCGACCCGTGCTTTTCTTTTCGGTTATGTAGATAGTAGTTCATTCATATATATATAAATATATATATATATATATATATATATATATATATATATATATATATATATATATATATATATATATATATATATATAATCATTTAAGTTTTCCAATTTAATGCGTAATTAAATATAAACTTTTTATAAAAACGTTATCAAAATGTTTTTCATATTCTTTTTCAATACCATAAAATGTTTATTAAAATGAAATTACTAAAAAACATTTCCACGCCAAATGAACATAAACAATATTCGTATTATTAGCGCTGAAATTAGTAGGCTACTTTATATTTGAAAATGTAATTAATTTTAAAACAAAATAAACATCCAATGAAGTCAATAGGATTGATATTGAATTGTCATCTGATCTTGACATTCGTGCTAAATTTTAAAACGTTGGTCTGTTAGCAGTGATCAAAATTTTTCTCGCACGTCACAGTCTCGGACGACAAAAGGACTAAGCACGAGGAAGCGAGTTCAACAAAATCTTTTAACGACTCAGTTTTCAACTTCATTTACGACGCTTATAATTAAAGTGACATTATTAAAAAAAAATTAAACAATCGTGTGCATTATGCTTTCGATATGAGTAAAGGTGTTGTTTTTTTTTACTTTTTATTTTTTTAACGTCGCCACAATTTAGATTTTTGGCAAAGAAAAATCCAATTTCACTAAACCCCAATATAAACATTTTATTTTTTAAATGAGTTTGTATTGACCTATGTCTAGATGTGTTGGCACTGACCGTAAGTGTAGATGAATCTAAATCCCCGTGCTCGAGAAGTTTGAACAGCATTAAACACGACATGCAAGTTGTTGGTGGAGCTTATTGAGCTAGGGATTTTATGAGTACAAAGTGTTCTCAGAAGCGTATCGTTTTCTGAATTTCCCTCATAGATTTTCAGAGTATCATAGTTGCAATTTTCATAATCATCTTGTACTTCGAAATCTAAAAACCTAAATCAAGAAATATTAATGAAACTTAATCAAGCTGGTAACACACAACATAGATGCCATAGGGTGTAAAAGGAGTGCAAGTACTAGTAGTTCAAGAGCGAGTGCATGTGCTATAGCAAGTGTGAGTGTGATTGTGAAGGTGTGGGTGAGGGTGAGGATAGGGGTTAGGGAATCTGTAAGGGTAATGGGTAAGGGTTAGGGAATATGTAAGGGTAATGGGTAAGGGTTAGGGAATCTGTAAGGGTAATGGGTAAGGGTTAGGGAATCTGTAAGGGTAATGGGTAAGTTTCTTTAAAAGTCATTGTAATAGCAGAGGTGTAGTGACCCCTCCACGTACCCTGGGTGAACATTCAATTTGGGGATCCCTCATTTATATATATATATATATATATATATATATATATATATATATATATATATATATATATATATGTGTGTGTGTGTGTGTGTGTGTGTGTATGCATGTGTGTGTGTCTGTTTGCGTGCGACAGTCCAGATAAGGTTTAATAAATTACGGTTTATGATTTTCTTTACTTAAAACTTTACTCGAAGCCTGTTAAACTCTCCTTAAGATAAGTAATTTAAAAAAAGATTAACAATGTCATAAAAAATAAACTTGATCTGAGTTTAGAGGATATTTTTTTACAGGTGCTTATTTATTTAGAAAAAACTTTATGTTTTTTTCTTTAGGTCAGTCTGTGTTATGATATGTTACATTGTTGGATTATAAGTTTGTTAGAATAAAGTCGTATAGTATAAGTGATCCACATTAGCAAAGTTTGGAGCTAAGTGGTTAGAAGCAATGGATAATGAAATACGAGAAACAAAGAGGTGGTGGTTAGGGCACAGTATCAGAAAGTGTAAAATCCGCGAGGAAACAGGATAAGGGAGAGACTAAAAAGTTCATGAAGGAAATCGTTTGGAATAGAGATAGGGGAGGCTGGATTTTTGGGTTCGAACTTTATAAAACATCAAGTGAGTTGACGAAGTGTTGTACAAGCATATTCTCATCGGGAACCCGAAACGAATAAAAAGAAGAAAATCTTAACCTGGGTTACACCGAATCTCAAAGGTTCAGTGAGTCAATCTCAAGGGTTGGGCGGAGGTCAAGACACACACCCGTCACCTAATTATGATTCAGTTAGATTTTGACAGTACGGACGATAGAACTATTAAGAAGCTTTCGGTGAATTCATATGAAACTGGTGGGGTTTGGTACCACCAAACGTTATTAGAATCACTGCATCATTGGGTAGTTTGTCGAAGGTGCAAGCTTATTTGGTTCACTTTTGGTTCAAATTTAATACGTACTGGTCGCTATTATTTTTGTATTAGATACAGAGTATGCTGTTTGTGTACAATGGTCTGTAACTGTTACTGTTTCCTTTATTTTTTTTCAATTGTTTTTTTTTTTGCAGTTTTTGTGTAATGGTTTGACTATGATAGAAATAATATTTTTTAAGGAGGTTTATTTCTAGGTTGGTGTAACAAAATGTAATATTGAGAGATGGCAGGTGATTTACAGCTTAATTTTGAGAATCACGCACTGGTGATGTTTTGAGCGTAGCACTATGAAACGATCTTTAAATTTTTCCTATAATATTTTGTAAACGAACAAACGTATGTGTGTTAACATTTACTTTTCAACATGTCTATAAATGGCTGAAGCAACAATAACGGCTAATATATATATATATATAGGGCCTATATATATATATATATATATATATATATATATATATATATATATATATATATATATATATATATATATAAGAATCTCACGAGATAGTTGTAAGTTTGTTTGGTATAGAAGGTATGTCCCACGATGTACGTCCAATTGGGTAACTCTGGGGAAAGTTTGGGCTTTGTATTTCACTGCCTCTGTTATCGACTGTAGCAGAAGAAGAAGTATCCTCTAGCAGACAAAATAAAGATTAAAAAAGGAATTAATCAATTATTGAAAGAAAAATCGCGTAATAAGAAAATAGGTTATCAATCTTCTTTTATATATTATGTAGAGCTGACAACATATATAGACCTATATACACACACATATAAACTACATAATTATATATATATATATATATATATATATATATATATATATATATATATATATATATATATATATATAACACTCATTTACTGTTTTGATTTTGATCAAGTTCTACTTACCGTATGAATAAACCAATTTAAACCCTCGGCCTGCTAACATACGGTCACTATGGAAGAACAAGTGCAGATTGTGTAAAGATCTTATTGGGTAGGGGATTCTACGACCACAGAGGAGATGAAGAATTGGATTTGTCCTTGACGTTCCGTTAAATATTTTGACGTAATCAAAACTGCACCCTTTTTCAAATCTCTCTCCACTGCTTGATTGTACATCGAAATCTAAAAAGCTAATGAAAGAAAATTAAACTTAGGTAAATGATGCATTTAACACGAGTTACCGGACAGATTTATAATTAAGACTATCAGGAAACAAAAGAAATATGAACAAAAATGTTTGTGTGCTTGACTGCAAATGTGATTTCTTTTTTTTTTTTTTTGCAGAAAAATAGTGTTGCCTGTAGTTTAGAATTTTTTGGTAAATTTTTAACGTAGTTATACAATAAAATTTATTTAAAAAATGATAGTTTTTATATATAGTTTTTAATGACATTATAATGACGAGACCTGTATAAATTAAATAATGCCAATAAAGTGTCTAATTAAAAGGGAAGTTTAAAAAACCCAATAAATGTGCTTGATATTAACTTAATGAGATCAAGTAAAATTGTTGACTCTATAAGCGGGAATTATCCGCGTTACTAAAACTGGTCGATCTTGGAGGGCAGTTATCTCCATATCTGACAACATCTAATGTCGCACATTATCCATTAATATTTTAGCGCCGCTTGGTCCAAGCTATACATATTGTAACAGACTGTATTCTTGGGTATGATTTATTATATTGTACTTAACATGGAGTTGTATGAAAATAGAGTACCTGGCCAACGGAAGGACTGTGTGGGCGACTAGTCATGTTTTTCCATGCTTTTTG